GTTTTAAAACTTTTCACCATTTTAATCACAAAATATACTTAGATTGTTTGGGTGGTAAAATAAAAATTCAGCACAGGGGTCATCATATTTAAATAAATTGTATAGGTGACTGATTCAGTGTTTATGTAGGACGACCTGAAGAACATTTCTTATTCAAACATACTATGATGGATACCATCATTAGCATTTATTTAAGCTAGTTTGTTTTGATGTGGAAAATGCAAATTAATTTATTTAGTTTTAGATTTAGTGAACTCGTGTTTCAACCTGCTTAAGCTCAGCAGCAGTTGCCTTTCCACTGTTTGGGTCATTATTTGGCTTTCAGAGATAATCTTCACTGGCTGGTACTTTCAAAGGAAACGAATGGTAAATGGTAAATGGCCTGTATTTGATATAGCACCTTCAAGATTCCTGGAACCCCCCAAGGCGCTTTACAGCACAATCAGTCATTCACCCATTCACACACACATTCACACACTGGTGGGGATGAGCTACGATGTAGCCACAGCTGCCCTGGGGCGCACTGACAGAGGCGAGGCTGCCGAGCACTGGCGCCACCAGTCCCTTTGACCACATGGGAACGTGGGTTAAGTGTCTTGCCCAAGGACACAACGACAGCGACAGACTGAGTGGGCCTCGAATCTGCAACCTTCCGATTACGGGGCGAGCACTTAACTCTTGTGCCATCGTCACCCTATATATAATGCGGGCAGATGTTTCTTTGTAAAGAGTGACAGTTGCTGGAACGGTGTTTTTGATGATTTGTGAACGAATTGAACGATAGACAGAAGAAAAGATAGAAAAAGCCGAAATTGCTACAGCCCTGCTCTCTCAATAGAAAAAAGTCAACAGCAGCTATTCGAATAGTCACGCTGCTGAAAACCTTTGAGGCTAATGAGGCCACTGAGAGTCGCTGTATTGGATTTCAGCACGACGCAGAAAATCAAGACAGCAAGAGCCCCAGAAGCACCTTTCTGCTTGACTCTTCTGAATGTAAGAGCCCTTTGTCTACATCTGAAGTAAAAAAATTCACCTGAAACATAAAAGACAAATCAACCAAATCCAGACATAGATCAGCCCATTTCCAGACTATACAAGCTCCCAATCCATAAAGACTCATTATAACGTGTTTTCTGTCCTATAATGTGTATTAAAACAGGTTTTTGCAAGCTTAAAGGACTCAGTTGACACTGATGTGGAAACACGGCCACATGCATGCAAAAACTGTCTGCTCATAGCTATGGAACTTCTTCATTGGCCTATTAAGGAATCTCCTAAAACCAAGCCCCCACAATGCGGCACAAAAATTGAATCAAACCCGGAAGTACCAAAAATTGCAGTTCCACCATCATCCACTAGGGGCTGGTGTCAGAAGCGAGCAAATCCTCATTGACTCCCATGTTAAAAATACCAATTTCACAGCAGAAATAAACATGTTTACAGCCTGGTACCAGAACATGTTGTTGGTTTAAATTATGTAGTTGACGCTCATGACAACTCTGAGGGGGTGAATTTTTTTCTCACTCTTCTGTTTAAGTGAATTATGGGCTCGACACACGGGAGGCGACATCGCCTCTCCTCCATTCATTTTCAATGAGACAAGCGCAACAAAGCGATAATCGCGGGTCTCCCTCCAACCAAGCGAAACGCGAAAAATGTGCGTGTGAAATTTTGCGCTCGTGCACGTGCTGTGCACAGGCGACCCAACGACACGATCCCAGAAAGTTGAAACAATTTCAACTTTTCATCGTTGTCGCTCGGACGAGTACCAGTCAACGGAGGTTTCATTCACTGACCAATGAGCGGACAGGATGCTCCGTACATCTCCGAGCAAACATGAAGGAGAAGTTGATTATTATTATGTTTTATATAGTAAAATCAGAAGTAAGATTTCACATAACTCTAGCAGCACCTTGTGAAACATCATATCTACCACTTTTTTAACTCTGAACCGCTTAAATAACCTTAATTTCCTCCGACCTGACACAGCCAAACAAAACAACGAAAGTTTCAATTTCACCATGGAACAGAACGCGTAGACGGCAAATCATATTTATGTATTTTAGGTCACTGCCGAGCTGAGCTTAGATTTTAAAATGTACTGTTTAACCATGAAATTTAAATGGAATAGGGTAAAACCCAGTGCATTTAACACAATGCTGCACTTTAGAAAATGGGTTGAAATATAACATGTTGGTGGAGCTGGGTTCCGACTATCGGCTTGTGGAGCTCTCGGGAGACCGATGTTTTCCACCCGGTTCTCCCCTCCCCGCAGCTCGGCGCATCTCAGTCTGATCGCGGCTTCTGTCTGCTGTGCCGCTGCCGGCTTTCAGCAGCTTTCGGGAGACCTCTGTGTTCCACCCGGTTTTACCCAGCGGTCAGCCCGGCGTATCTCTGACTCAGAAGCTCTGGTGTTGTGCACAGTTAACTCCAGTTGTAGCTAGGTTGCTACCTCCTTTAGCTTAGCTCCCACCTCTCCATTAGCTTTAGGTTAGCTTCAGGTTAGCTTGTAGCTAGTTCGACCGGGTGTTGTCAGTTGATCCCAGCCTTGCAAGCTACACCCTCAGCTCCACCTCTCTTCCCTTTTGTGGAATTGTCTGGGCTTGACGGTACCTGTGACACGGTCAAAATGGTGGTGGTGGCCACCTCCCATTTTGGCACAAAAACGTGGAAATGAATTGTCCAGTATATGTGTTGATGCCTAAAACATAAGCATGTCATGACCATTTCGGCAGTCAGTTACTGGTGTCGAATTACAAGTGCTGGCATTTCAGTGTTAGCTTGGTGCTGTCGCACATACTCACTCCATCCTTTTTCTTTTTTGTTTAAGGAGAAAATTAGGACAACCCCTCTAGTCGGCTGAGAAATCGGTCTCAATGTAACCTTCCTTCCAACATGATTGAGAGATTCGAGTGTTTTGAGATTATTTCACTCTATAACTCTTACATGCTGCTGCTGTGAGCATCTTTTGTCACTGATCAAGACAGCAAAGACCACACTTCCTCTAATGCAGGAGAAAAATGACCCTGATAAGTGCTCCCTACTGTAAAACACCCAAGAGCGCACTAGATATAACAATGTATTTATCTAGTTATAAACTTACTGTGTATGACTCGTCTTCACTTGTCATCTAAATTCTTCTGGTGCTGATCCGTAACTGGCAGCAGCCATGAAACTCACAGAGCAGGAGTGAGAGTCACCTGTTGTTTATAAAAATGGACTGCAGTACCTAAATGTAACCACAGGATGTCATCCTTACATATTGCACCTTTAAGGCTGGCTTGAGTAACACTTCTGTCTTGCCCCACGGCTCTAACACACTTTAAGGTGACAGTAATGAATTAATCTGTACAATCCCAACATTCGAAGCACTTCCTATGATAAATACAGATGACTGTTTAACCCTTCCATCTCTACCAGCACACAAATTGAAGCAATGCTCTCATAAGGAACACCTCCTGAACAAATTCTGTCCTTTTTCCATGTTTGTTTTGTATTTATGTGCAGTCTTTGTGTAAAAAAGTATTTTTTCTTTGTGAGAAGAGTGTGCACTTAGCCATAAAGATCAAGGAGGAGTGTGTTTGCAAGTGTCTTTGTACTTGAGCTCAAATGCACATGTGCATGCGTGTGTGCGTGTGTGTGTGTGTGCATGCTCTTTGGACAACTGAATGATAGAGTGGAAAAACTTCAAAGCAGCTCTTTCATCAGAGCATCGACATACAACCCAGACGCCGACACATTCTGGTCTCTTTCTCATGACCACTTCTGACTTTTTCTGTTTCTTTCAACAGAAATTCAATCACACGGGAGAACAATCAAGGTCCTGATGTGCTCCTGAACTTTAGAAAGTTTTTTTTTTATATCAGATCCAGCAGATATGCAACTTTTTTTCTACATGACATCCTAGTTGGCAAGTTACAGCAGCACACTTGGATGAAATAAAAATCAATAGGCAGAAAGATTTAGAGATAATTCTTTTCTCTTCACGTAGGGAAAGCCTCAGGGGCAGACTCATCACTGTAATCTGGAAGTTCAAACAGCGTCAGCGGTACTGGGAGTCCAAAAAACATGTAAATGAACAAACACATCACCAGAGGACATGGAATAACAGAAGAAGAAGAACCTATATGGAACAGAGAAGTGACTTTGAGTCATTTTCTGGTGTTGCTACAAACAAAACCACTGTACGGCGTTCAAAAAAGGTTATTGTAGCAGGTTTGTACTAAACATACTCAAAAAACGATTGTTAGTCAATATGTTTATATACAATTTAACTAAAACTGATAAAATCCTGACTGTAATTTACCAAAATGGTTAAACAAAAGTCAAATGTAGTGAGCGTAAACCTACAATAAGCAATAATTAATCCTTCTTAATTGAATCCCATTTGAGTCATTTGGGCTAAAGAAGAAAAACTGTGCATGCCCAACAGTTATTATTTTAACTAACATCTAAAAAATCACAACTGTTTATTAAAACAGTTTAACACAAGTCAAATAAACATAAACTTAACAACTAATTACCTTAAAAGTGACATTTTCAATGTGTTTATATAAAGACTTTAATGGAAAATTTACATGTAATTAAATGTCATAAAGTCAACAGTTTTAGCCGAGTCTTTTTTTCAGTGCAGAGAGCTGTCAAATTGTGATAGAGAGGTGTGAGGATAGTATGGCTTTGTGAACGGTGACGCCAAACTGTTATTTAACTATTTATAACATCGGTGAGTTGCTATGAGGAGGGGCTCTAAAACTATGTACCCTAAAAGACGTTTAAAAAGAAGAACTGTCTCAGTTTATTTACCAGATTATGAATAACATCTCCAAATGAGATGAACTTCCTAACATGAAGACAACTGAGTCAGCGGATCTGAAAACCCTGATTTCATCCAAACAGCAACAGAGTCATAAAGGACTCCTACGATCAGCTGGAGGCCACTGGAACCAGTCTAAAGCCGCTGCACGCTGACTTTTCTTTAAAGCAGTTGTAGTATTTATTACCCCTGTTGGCAGGCGGCCTGGTGCGGCTGCGGGACCGGCTTCGCTGACGCTGCAGTCGGGATTTGCCCAGGAATCTGTAGTAGTACGAGTGTCTCCCAGATCCCTTCCTGGTAACCCCAGCCATGCTGTCACTCTGGCACTCAAAACAAATCCTCTGGTCGTGGTGTCAGTTCAGACCCAAAGTCCTCATGGAGTTAAAGCTCTGCTCATCACAAACTTCCCTTCAGAACAGGTCTTTACTTTAAGTCCTCATGGGTGGTGTTGCGTTCAAATCCACTCCACGGTGAAATCACTTCCTACTGCCAAGAGAGGATTAAATCATCAAACCTCCACTTCTGTTCAACGCTCCGAGTCCAGTCCCGAAAGCTTTAGCCTGCTTCTCTCACTGAGAGCTCCCCCTCAAAGTTTCCCCAGTGTGAGATCCCAAAGGCGTGATGTCCGGAGTACGGTGTGAGTGTGTATCCTGAATGACAGGAAAGCTGTTCCTGTTCCCGGTGCAAGAGTGCGACAAAGGAATTTAAGACAACTAGATAGAAAAAAAAAACAAGCCTGAGTTTTACAAAGCAGAAACAGATGCAGCTACACACATCCAAAACCACCTGTGTGTGTGTGTGTGTGTGTGTGTGTGTGTGTGTGTGTGTGTGTGTGTGTGTGTGTGTGTGTGTGTGTGTGTGTGTGTGTGTGTGTGTGTGTGTGTGTGTGTGTGTGTGTGTGTGTGTGTGTGTGCGTGTGCGTGTGCGTGTGTGTGTGTGAGAGAAACAGAACAAGGAGGGGAAGAGAGCATGCTATGTTACTGGGAACAGAGGAAAAGTTTGGGATGCCTGGAAAACATGCATAAGATTAGAGCGACAGTGGAATGGATTTACCAAACTGGTTTTCACCAGAGGCCAGATTATTCAGTTACAGGCTATCAGGTAACCCTCTGGAGGCAGGTGTTGCAGATTTGCTACGTTAAAACCTACCTTCCTGGTTACTCCACATGCGTATATCATGAGCATTTTTAACTCAGAAGTACCCCTGAAGGACTTAGGCCTAGTCCACACGTAGCGGGGTTTTTTTTTAAACGAATATCCGCCCCTCCAAAAACTTGCATCCACACCACCTCGTTTAAAAAAAAAACTGTCCACATGTACCCGGATAAATACGTTGTTGTTGTTGTTGCCAGACCTGTAGGCGGCAGGACTTCCCCGTTCTTAACCTCGTCCTTCGTCTGTGGTCTTCCGCAAGGAGCAGTAATTCCGCTTGCAAAAACAAACAAGCAAAAAGTGCTTGGACAATTGATAAAGCGAGCGCAGCTCTGAGGGCATCCATGCTGTCGGCTAGTGTAAACACAGGTCGCACACGTGATGTCAGCATTGTTTTGTCGTGGAAAGTGACGTTGCGGACCTTAAAACTCCGGTTTTGTCTGTCCACACGCAGACACCCAAAACGGAGAAAACGCAGATCTTCACTTTGGCCGGAGTTTTTAAAAAATCCGTTTTCGTGTGAAAAAACTCTGTTTTCGTGTGGATGACAGGCCAAAACGTAGAAAAATATCTACGTTTTGGCAGATCCCCGGCTACGTGTGGACAGGGCCTCAGTTGTTCGTCCTTTTATCAAAACTTATTTTGAGCCTGAGAGGGTTAACGATCCTGACTGGGGCAGCAGAAGTTAGGAGGCAGAGTGGGTTGTCCAGTAATCGGAGGATCGATCCCGACTCCCAGCAGAGAATGCTGCTGTCGTGTCCTTGGGCAAGACCACTTTGCCCGCTGGTGGTGGCTGGAGGGACCGGTGGTGCCAATGCTCTAGCCTGGCCTGCCATACTCCTCCTCTGTTTATTTCTGCACGGAGAAAGGGTCTGGGAACTCTCCTTTTCAAATAACCCCGCCCCCTGAGAATTCTAACCGAGCCAACCAGCGCTGAGTAGCGTGCGTCACACACCATAACGCCGAGTTTGTCATAAACATGGTGACTGAAGCGGAGATCGCTGCAGCTCTTTCCTCTGTTCTAAATGACTTGAATGTCTTTAAAACCACAACAAGCAGAAGCGCCAAAATCCTTTCTTATAAAAAATAAAAGATGTTTGCGCTGTCGCCAGACGCCTTTCATTTACAACAGCTAAGAAACCACAGCGTCGCGTGGTACAGTCGGCATTTCCGTCTTTTTTCTGATTGGTTATTTTTGAGCTGCCTAGTCCCGCCCCTCATGCGCCTCTCTGCTTGTGAGCAACCAGACTCTTTCTCTGTGCAGAATTAAACAGACGACGAGTCTGGCAGGCCAACCAACGCTCAGCAGCCTTGCTTCTGTCAGTGGCCTCAGGGCAGGTTTGGCTACGATGTAGCTAATCATCACCAGAGTATGAATGGGTGTTCCTATGGGTGAATGACTGATGGTGTTTAGAAGGGCTTTGGGGGGTTCTAGGACTCTAGAAGACGCTATATAAAATACTGTTCGTTTACCATTTACAGGCCAGAGACTCTCTTGGTCAGCTTGCTTCCCACACCAAACCTTCCGTCTGGAATCTTGGTGTGACCTTTGACCCAGCTCTCACCCTGGATTCTCATGTCAGTTCTCTTGTTCGCTCTTCCTTCTTCCATCTCAGGAACATTGCTAAGCTGAGTCCCATTCTGTCCCACTCTGAACTTGAGACAGTTATCCACACCTCCATCTCCTCACGCTTAGACTACTGTAACTCTCTTTTCACGTGTCTGAGCAGAACCTCCCTGAACCGTCTACAGGTGGTTCAGAATGCCTGTGCTCGGCTTCTGACCAAGTCCTCTAAACACACCCACATCACCCCGCTTCTCCTCCAGCTTCACTGGCTGCCAGTCAACTTCAGGGTTCATTTCGAGATCCTGGTCCTGGTCTATAGGGCCTTACATGGACAAGCACCATCTTACATTGGTGATCTTCTCAGTCCCTACACCCCCAGCAGGTCCCTGAGGTCCAGTGACCAAAGCCTACTGGTTGTGCAGCGCCAGGCTAAAGACCAAAGGTGACAGATCATTTGCTGCTGTGTCCCCCAGACTCTGGAACTCTCTCCCCCTGAGCCTGAGATCAGTGGACTCAGAGGTCTCCTTTAAAAAGCAGCTGAAGACTCACTTGTTCAAGCTGGCTTTTGTATGACCTTCTTCACCACTCTCTCTTTATTCTGCTCTCCCCACCTATTCCACCTTCCTCAGGATCCACTGATTTCCATCTTTCCTAGTCACTCTCTCTCTTTCTTAACATTTTATTTTTTAATCACAATTGTCCATTTTTTGCTCATTTTAAATATATTTTAACCATTTTCTAAATTATTATTTATATTTTTCCATTTTTTGTTTTTGTGAAGCGCCTCGTGATTTTTTCCTTGAGAGGCGCTATAGAAATGATACTTTCTTCTTCTTCTTCTTCTACTTCTAAAAAGTGTCACTATCGCTGATTCTACTGGATCCTGTTCCAGTTTGAGTGCCACCCCTGGTTTTACAAATCACCTCCTTTAACTTCCCTTACTGGACAAGAAGAGAACATGTGGGAGTGATGGCCTATCAGCAGCAGATGTAAGAAAGTCACAGCCAATCACAGGGTGTCACTGGTCTGGAGGGAACAAAAGGGTCAGTTGGGCGGATCAGAGTCTTAAATAAAACAGAATTAAGTGCAACTCTGGGCTAAATGGTGTCAGGTGATGGTTAACTTAACTTTGATTATTTTTATTTTAAAAAGCATTAAATGAAAAACTGTCTTAAGTTATTTGAAATGACCTTTTCAGAAAACTTTCTAGCAACCCAACACACATCCACTTGCAGTGGGGCAAAAAAGTATTTAGTCAGCCACCGATTGTGCAAGTTCTCCCACTTAAAATGATGACAGACGTCAGTACTTTTCATCGTAGGTACACTTCAACTGTGAGAGACAGAATGTGAAAAAAAATCCATGAATTCACATGGCAGGATTTTAAAGAATTTATTTGTAAATCAGGGTGGAAAATAAGTATTTGGTCACTTCAAACAAGGAAAATCTCTGGCTCTCACAGACCTGTAACGTCTTCTTTAAGAAGCTTTTATTCCCTCCACTTGTTACCTGTATTAATGGCACCTGTTTGAACACATTATCTGTATAAAAGACACCTGTCCACAGCCTCAAACAGTCAGACTCCAAACTCCACTATGGCCAAGACCAAAGAGCTTTCGAAGGACACCAGGAAAAGAATTGTAGACCTGCACCAGACTGGGAAGAGTGAATCTACAATAGGCAAGCAGCTTGGTGTGAAAAAGTCAACTGTGGGAGCAATTATCAGAAAATGGAAGACATACAAGACCACTGATAATCTCCCTCGATCTGGGGCTCCACGCAAGATCTCATCCGTGGGGTCAAAATGATCATGAGAATGGTGAGCAAGAATCCTAGAACCACACGGGGGGACCTGGTGAATGACCTGCAGAGAGCTGGGACCACAGTAACGAAGGTCACCATCAGTAACACACTACAACGGCAGGGAATCAAATCCTGCAGTGCCAGACGTGTTCCGCTGCTGAAGCCAGTGCATGTCCAGGCCCGTCTGAAGTTTGCCAGAGAGCACATGGATGATACAGCAGAGGATTGGGAGAATGTCATGTGGTCAGATGAAACCAAAGTAGAACTTTTTGGTATAAATTCAACTCGTCGTGTTTGGAGGAAGAAGAATACTGAGTTGCGTCCCAAGAACACCATACCTACTGTGAAGCATGGGGTGGGAACATCATGTTTGGGGCTGTTTTTCTGCTAAGGGGACAGGACGACTGATCCATGTTAAGGAAAGAATGAATGGGGCCATGTATCGTGAGATTCTGAACCAAAACCTCCTTCCATCAGTGAGAACTTTGAAGATGAAACGTGGCTGGGTCTTCCAACACGACAATGATCCCAAACACACTGCCAGGGCAACAAAGGAGTGGCTTCGCAAGAAGCCTTGAAAGTCCTGGAGTGGCCTAGCCAGTCTCCAGACCTCAACCCCATAGAAAATCTGTGGAGGGAGTTGAAAGTCCGTGTTGCTCGGCGACAGCCCCAAAACATCACTGCTCTCGAGAAGATCTGCATGGAGGAATGGGCCAAAATACCAGCTACTGTGTGTGCAAACCTGGTAAAGACCTATAGTAATCGTTTGACCTCTGTTATTGCCAACAAAGGTTATGTTACAAAGTATTGAGTTGAATTTTTGTTATTGACCAAATACTTATTTTCCACCCTGATTTACAAATAAATTCTTTAAAAATCCTGTCATGTGAATTCATGGACTTTTTTTCACATTCTGTCTCTCACAGTTGAAGTGTACCTATGATGTAAATTACTGACCTCTGTCATCATTTTAAGTGGGAGAACTTGCACAATCGGTGGCTGACTAAATACTTTTTTGCCCCACTGTACACACAGGACGATCACATTCACGGATAAAAATAACAGCAGACGGTGATCTTCTCTTCCACTTACAGCAAGATCCTAATGTCCCAAACAGGCAGCTCATCAAACGTAAGCCCTTTCAACAGATGAGCAG